AACTACAAAAGGAGTAAAATCTTTCCTTGGACTCTGCGGATTCTACCGTAAGTTCATTCCCAATTTTGCAAAAATAGCAAAACCCATGACACTTAAATTGAAAAAAGGAGCAACAATTAACACAAAAGATAATGACTACATGTCCGCCTTCGAGAAACTTAAAGTACTCATTACGTCCGATCCGATCCTAATATATCCTAACTTCGAAAAGAAATTCTCATTAACGACAGACGCAAGTAATATAGCTATAGGCGCTGTATTATCTCAAGAACACAAACCTATTTGTTATGCAAGCAGAACTCTAAACGAACACGAACTTAACTATTCAGCAATAGAAAAAGAACTATTAGCTATAGTATGGGCAACAAAATATTTCAGATCTTACCTATTCGGTAGAAAATTCGACATATTAAGCGATCATAGGCCACTTGTATGGCTAAACAACATAAAAGACCCTAACATGAAGTTACAGAGATGGAAGATAAAACTTAACGAATACGATTATAATATCCAATACCTACCTGGTAAAGAAAATCATGTCGCGGATGCTCTATCCAGAATTCAAATTCAAGAAAACTTCCTAGGAGAAGATGATCCAATCTCCCTTCCCACAGCAGCTACTATACATAGTGCATCAGAAGATAACCAAAATCACATTCCAATAACAGAAAGACCCCTTAATTATTATAACAGACAATTCGAATTCATAAAAGACAATTTTGACGACGTCCAGATAATAAAATATTTCCACAAAACTAGAATAAAAATTAGTTATAAAGAAATTACCGACACCCTTGCTAAAGACTTAATTAAAGAATACTTTTGTAATAAGAAAAGTGTTATTTACTTCCCTAATGAAATCGACTTTCAGATATTTCAAAATGCTTATATTCAAATCATAAGTCCCGACAATTTCACTAAAACCATGAAAACCAGTAACAAACTAATAGACATTCAAACATATGCTCAATTCAAAGAAATCATTCTTAAAACACATAAAGAATATTTACACCCTGGCATAGAAAAACTAACACTTCAGTTCAAAGAACTTTATTATTACCCCGATTACCAAAAGCTTATCCAAAACATTATAAATGAATGTGAAATCTGTAACATCGCTGAAACCGAACACAGAAACACAAAATTAACTATCGAAACAACCCCAGAAACCTTTAACCCCAGAGACAAATATGTCATGGATTTCTACTTAATAAACAATAAACAATTCCTATCATGTATTGACATTTATTCTAAATACGCCTCCCTGATAGAAGTAAATAGTAGAGACTGGCTTGAAGCTAAAAGAGCTATTTTACGTATATTCAACGACATGGGTAAACCCATAGAAATAAAAGCCGACAAAGATTCCGCTTTCATGTGCGTCGCACTTAAACTCTGGTTAGATTCAGAAGGAGTAACCTTAAACATAACGACAAGTAAAAATGGAATTTCTGACATCGAGAGATTTCATAAAACCGTTAATGAAAAATTAAGAATAATATCAAGCGAAAATGAACCCGAAAACCAATTCACAAAATTCGAAAAAATACTTTACGTATACAATAACAAAACAAAACACAACACAACTGGTCGAAAACCAGCAGACATTTTTATTTTTGCAGGAACCCCTTGCTATAACACACAAGAAAATAAAGTGAACAAAATTAACAAACTCAATGAAACTAGACAAGACTTTAGTATAGACACCAATTTCAGAGAATCCCCTCTAGTTAGATCAAAAACGACTAACCCATTCAAAAAGACAGGAAATTTAAGACAAATAGACGAAAAACATTTTGAGGAAACAAATAGAGGTAGAAAAATAATACACTATAAATCTAAGTTTAAAAAGAAAAAGAAAATTAATAAAAGTAAATATAATAACGATAATTCCAGGCCTACTCCCGAGCATGATACTCATGTTATGCCTCCTATCAACAATTAACACACAATACTTAGAAGTAACACCTATCCAGGCCAAAAACGGTTACCAAATCTTTCAAACCGGATCATTAGATTTACCAATAAACTATGAATATCACTACTTATCTGTTAATTTAACTAAAACCGAAAACACTTATGAAGAACTTATCAAGCAAGCTCAAATCTTTGAAACTCTACAACAAATTCAGTATCTAACAGAAAAACTTAACAGAGAAATGAACGGTATAAGAATTGCAAAACGTAGTAAACGCGGTCTCGCTAATTTTATAGGAACAGTGTACAAATACTTATTCGGCACCTTAAATCAAGAAGATAAAGAAGAATTACAACAACAAATAGGTGACATCTCTAAAAATAATGTACAAGTAAGCGAACTCAACCACGTAATAGAAGCCATTAATAAAGGAATTGAATTGACCAATCATCTAAATAGTAACTTTGAAGGAGAACAAATGTTAGCCTTAGTAATTTTCAACCTACAACAATTCACTGAATACATAGAAGACATAGAACTTGATTTGCAACTGACACGCTTAGGTATCTTTAACCCAAAACTTTTGAAACACGATTCATTAACACACGTCAATTCTGAAAAAATCCTTAATATCAAAACTTCTGCTTGGCTTAAATCTGATACGAACGAAATTCTGATAATATCCCACATTCCGAGAGAAATAATTAAAACACCAGTTTTTGAAATAATACCATACCCAGACGAAAACAGTAACATACTGACTGAAACAATACATGACAAATATTTTTTACACAATAATCAAACTTACACAGCAAGTTCCCAAAGCTTGGTCATAAATAAATGTATAACAGGTATACTAAACCAACTCTCAACACAATGTAGATACAGTAAAACACATTCTGATTTTGAAATAAAATATGTAGAACCTAATATAATTACAACTTGGAACCTTCCCAAGACTATTTTAAACCAAAATTGTATTAATAGAGAAATTATAATAGAAGGTAACAATATGATAAAAACATTTAATTGTTCCGTTCAATTAGAAGATATATTAATTAGCAACACAATGCTAGATTACACTCAAACTATCTATGTAAATAATAACGTAACAAAACTTGAACCACTAGAATACATTCACACAAAAGAAATAATCGAACAACACAATCAGACGAATAATATCTTTCAAATAATAACACTTACAGCATTAATCATACTAGTTATAATTGTTGCATTGTACTTTATTTATAAATATAAAACTATACCCCAAAAATTAATTGTAAAATTCAAAAATCAAACCCCAGAAAACGAAACTATTATACACCCTGAAACAGAAAACGTTGTACCCCAGGTAAATACCCCTGTATTGTACCCTACAATAAGCGCCTGAGGACAGGCTTTTTTCTTAAGGATGGGGAAGTAACATATCCATTATTACACCCACAACTCCCCATAAGATAACTATAAGCAACATACACTAGTATAAGCTCATATACACACATTAATGTATGAACACAAAATATCTAAGTCTAAGCACAAAATGTAATCAAAGAACGAGAGCCCTTCGATTAACCTTGGACACAGCGTCATGTTCCAAAGCCACCCTTTCTCACAGATCGCAAATCGTAAACATAGACACTTGTCGCCTTATCATAAACATAGACACTTGCCGCCTTTATAAACACCGACTCTCGTCCCCTAATCATTTGCATTCGACCACTTGGCGAGCCAACTGAAATAATAAACTTTCGCGATCGGCGCCTACGCCTACGCACTTGTCCCAGGATTCTCCAATTACCCCTATTCTTCAGAAGACTCTCTTCCAACAAGAAAATAGAGGTTTACAACCCAACTCTCTTAAACTTCGCTCTTTGGCTTCCCCAAATTGCCTATAAAACAGCAAGCATGCCTCCATGCAGCAGTTCAGTACTGAGTACGTTATCAACCGCGATAACACCGCTTAAGCCAATTTAACTTTCCAATTTCGTGATAATCAAATGGCTCTAGTTCTTTCCATAAATGGAATTAATAAAAAGGTTTAATAAAATATAAAACTCAATCGTGTGTTTTTTTTATCAAACCCTCGGTCTGAATTCGTAAATATATTTATATTATTTATGCCTCTAACCTTGAGCATATACGCTGTGACCCGAAAGATGGTGAACTAATCTTGATCAGGTTTAAGTCAGGGGAAACCCTGATGGAAGACCGAAACATTTCTGACGTGCAAATCGATTGTCAGAATTGAGTATAGGGGCACAAGAGCAATCGAACCATCTAATAGCTGGTTCCTTCCGGAGTTTCCCTCAGGATAGCTGGTGCATTTTAATATTATATAAAATAATCTTATCTGGTAAAGCGAATGATTAGAGGCCTTAGGGTCGAAACGATCTTAACCTATTCTCAAACTTTAAATGGGTAAGAACCTTAACTTTCTTGATATGAAGTTCAAGGCTATGATATAATGTGCCCAGTGCGCCACATTTGGTAAGCAGATCTGGCGCTGTGGGATAAACCAAACGTAATGTTACGGTTCCCAAATTAACAACTCATGCAGATACCATGAAAGGCGTTGGTTGCTTAAAACAGCAGGACGGTGATCATGGAAGTCGAAATCCGCTAAGGAGTGTGTAACAACTCACCTGCCGAAGCAATTAGCACTTAAAAAAGATGGCGCTTAAGTTTTATACCTATACATTACCGCTAAAGTAGATGATTTATATTACTTGTGATATAAATTTTAAAACTTTAGTGAGTAGGAAGGTACAATGGTATGCGTAGAAGTGTTTGGCGTAAGCCTGCATGGAGCTGCCATTGGTACAGATCTTGGTGGTAGTAGCAAATAATCGAATGAGACCTTGGAGGACTGAAGTGGAGAAGGGTTTCGTGTGAACAGTGGTTGATCACGAGTTAGTCGGTCCTAAGTTCAAGGCGAAAGCCGAAAATTTTCAAGTAAAACAAAAATGCCAAATTATATAAACAAAGCGAAAATAATACACTTGAATAATTTTGAACGAAAGGGAATATGGTTCCAATTCCGTAATCTGTTGAGTATCCGTTTGTTATTACATAATGATATGACATATACTGTTGTGTCGATATTTTCTCCTCGGACCTTGAAAATGTATGGTGGGGACACGCCAATTTCTCAACAGGCCGTACCAATATCCGCAGCTGGTCTCCAAGGTGAAGAGTATATGTCGATAGAATAATGTAGGTAAGGGAAGTCGGCAAACTAGTTACTTGTTCCCCGGATAGTTTAGTTACGTAGCCAATTGTGGAGCTTTCTTGCTAAAATTTTTAAGAATACTATTTGGGTTAAACAAATTAGTTTTTATTAATTATAACGATTATCAATTAACAATCAATTCAGAACTTGGGGAACGGACTTGGGGAATCCGACTGTCAAATTAAAACAAAGCATTGAGATATCCCTAGCGGGTGTTGACACAATGTGATTTATGCTCAGTGCTCGTCAAAGTGAAGAAATTTAAGTAAGCGCGGGTCAACGGCGGGAGTAACTATGACTCTCTTAAGGTAGCCAAATGCTTCGTCATCTAATTAACGAGATTCCTACTGTCCCTATCTACTTACTGTCAGTGACGGAAGTGTTTTCTACGAGTTCCCATTAATACGGTAATTTTTGGTGTAAATCCGCGGTATGACACCTCCGCACAGGTAGCTGCCAGGAGGCGACTGTCCTCCTGCCACAGACTGATCCTCCTTGATGTCTATCGGTATGCCGAACAGTGTCCACCGCGGCACTGCAGGTTCCTGATCTCGCTCCTCAGCAAGGCTTAGTGCTTGCCCGGCAAGCAAGCACTCCCCCTTGCCGCCGGGGTGGTTGATATGTACATAGCTATAGCTTCCAGACCAGGACGTTTTGTCTAGCGTATCGGGACACATGCATCATATGCTCACTTGTGTATAGGGTGCCGTGGTTGTAATCCCTTTAATGTGGAACACGCCACGTAAAACAAGTTCGGAGGGATCCGATTCATACACTGTCCCTATCTACTATCTAGCGAAACCACAGCCAAGGTAACAGGCTTGGAATAATTAGCGGGGAAAGAAGACCCTTTTGAGCTTGACTCTAATCTGGTAGTGTAAGGAGACATAAGAGATGTAGAATAAGTGGGAGATATTAGACCTCGGTTTGGTATCGTCAATGAAATACCACTGCTCTTATTGTTTCTTTACTTACTTGATTAAATGGAACGTGTATCATTTCCTAGCTATTATACGGATATATTTATTGTATCTTATGGTATTGGGTTTTGATGCAAGCTTCTTGATCAAAGTATCACGAGTTTGTTGTATAATCGCAAAAAAATTCTTTAATAAAACGATGCATTTATGTATTTTTGATTTGAAAATTTGGTATAACTCCAATTACTCAGGTATGATCCAATTCAAGGACATTGCCAGGTAGGGAGTTTGACTGGGGCGGTACACATCTCAAATAATAACGGAGGTGTCCCAAGGCCAGCTCAGTGCGGACAGAAACCACACATAGAGCAAAAGGGCAAATGCTGACTTGATCTCGGTGTTCAGTACACACAGGGACAGCAAAAGCTCGGCCTATCGATCCTTTTGGTTTAAAGAGTTTTAAACAAGAGGTGTCAGAAAAGTTACCATAGGGATAACTGGCTTGTGGCGGCCAAGCGTTTATAGTGATCATTATGAAGCAAAATTCTCCAAGCGTTGGATTGTTCACCCATGCAATGGAACGTGAGCTGGGTTTAGACCGTCGTGAGACAGGTTAGTATTACCCTACTAATAAGGGGCAATTTGCATTGTATGGCTTCTAAACCATTTTAAGTTTATAAATTACTTTATAAACGGCAATAGATGTGATATCAATGTAATTTGTAACATAGTAAATTGGGACGATCTTCGATCACCTGATGCCGCGCTAGTTACATATAAAAGCATTATTTAATACAATGACAAAGCCTAGAATCAATTGGAAACGACTTTTGTAACAGGCAAGGTGTTGTAAGTGGTTGAGCAGCTGCCATTCTGCGACCCACTGAAGCTTATCCTTTGCTTGATAATTCGATATAAAATATATAAGTACTCATCATGTACTTATAATGGGAAGCAGCATTCCATCCCACGGCGCCCAGAGTGCCCAGAGTAGCCAAATGCCTCGTCATCAATTTAGTGGAGTTTTTTGACAACTCTCGTCGAGTGCTGACGTGCCTACGAATAAAGTGTTTATTTTCTGAGTGATTTTCGCTGTGAAAAGTTAACGTGGAATCTTTAAAAACGTACAGACAGTTGGGCCAAGTTCTGGAGTGCGTGTGATACACGAACGCAAGTTCATGAAACATGTCCTTTGTCTGCAGATGGTATTTAACTTATTTGCAAAAGTTTACGTAGCTAGCAAATTAGCTGACTGGTTTCACCAGTCGTCGCCTACTCAGCTGGTGGAACAGCTGTTCCAGTGGTGCGTGTACTGGCTAAACTGAATCCGATAACCACAAACAGTTTCGACTTAAGATAAAAATTTCTCCGCCAGAGGGCGTCAATCAGGTGGCGAGGAACCAGCAGAAGAGCTCTAACTGAAAACCAACCAGGTGGATGTGATGCTGGACAGCGAGACCCACTTTACAAAGAGGTGTCACTTCAAAATCACTGGCTACGAAGTGGTCAACGCCTTTCACCCGGCGGACAGGATCAGAGGTGGAGCCACAGTAATCGTGCGAAGTGGATTACTGTACGAGGAGATGAAGCCGGTGCAGCTGGACTGGATGCAATGCGCCAGGACTCAGCTGCTGACACATTCGGGCAAAATTTGTATCGCGGCAGCATACTTGCCTCCGCGTTACACAATTAGGCATCCCGAGTTGTCATTGAAGCTGAAAAACTTGGGTCCCAAATTTCTAATTGGCGGAGACTTTAATGCCAAGCACACATGGTGGGGCTCCAGGATTGTCAACCCCAAGGCCAGCACTCTGCTGAGGTGCGTCAGAGATTTGGGCTGCAATCTGCACACGAGCCGACTTACTGGCCCAGTGACCCTAACAAAATACCGGACCTCCTTGATCTAGGCATCAGTAGAGGCATCGACCCGGCGAAAGTATCTACAGTTGGGTGCTACGAGCTGTGCTCTGACCACAGCATGGTCAGGATACTACTTAGGACCTCCTTCCTAAGGACTCCTGGAGACACCAAACTGATCAGGCGAAATACCGACACAACTGTGTTTAAAAGCTGGCTTGAAGAAAACGTTGACCCACATCCGGCTATCAGCACTGGAGGAGACATTGACGATGGCGTTGCTAGCCTTACTTGCAAAATCCACTAGGCGGCAGGTTGACCACACCCACACCTCGTACCCACTGTTGGAGACTCCAAGTGGACCGCAGGGACAACCATCTATGGTCGACTGAACTGGCGTCGATGGTATCGGAGAAAACGAGGTTGAGGAGAGTCTGGCAGTCTAGCAAAGCTCCGTCTGATAAGAGGGCCTACAACAGAGCCTGTAAGCAGCTCAAACAGATGCTTCATGACTCGAGAAGCAAGGCGCTCGACGAGTACCTAGTAGAACTGAAGCCTGGCAATGCTGAGCACAACATCTGGAACGCCACCAAATACCTGAAAAGGCCTGTGCGGAGGGTGCCACCTGTTAAAACAGCTGCAGGTATATGGTGCCGGTGAAGCCAAGAGAAAGCGGATGCGTTTGCCGACCATCAAACCAGTTTCCAGCCATTCGCCCTATGTGATGACGAAGACGTTGAAGAGACGAAGCAGTTCGTTGACGCAGCCTGCCCGATGGACCTGCCTATCGCAGAGATAGGTAGTCAGGAGATTCTGGATGAGATCTCGTGCTTGAAGCTCACCAAATCTCAAGGCTCTAATGAACCAATGCTTAAGTCTGGGACACTTTCCTTCTCAGTGGAAGTGCGCTGAGGTTATCCTCATACACAAGCCGGGCAAGCCAGAAGCCGAGCTAGGCTCATATAGGCCGATCAGTCGACTCGCAATCCTGTCAAAAATCCTGGAGAAGCTGTTCCTCAAGAGGTTGCTGACCATCCTGGAGGAAAAGAGGATCATCCCCGACCACCAGTTCGGTTTCAGGCAAGGACATGGCGCCATTCAGCAGTGCCACCGGGTCGTCTCCAGGGTCTTGGATGCCTTCGAAAACAAAAATTATTGCGCAGCAGTCTTTCTGGATGTGAGGCAGGCTTTCGACAGGGTGTGGCACCTCGGCCTGCTATTCAAGCTGAAGCAACAGTTACCGACCCCATACTACATGTTCCTTAAGGCATACAGGGTGCGTTATGAAAGTAATGCGCATGGTTTCATTGTCACGTAACTACCTGTCGTAGCACGCTCGGACTGTCTGAAAATTTGGGGCGTAGTCTCTCCTTTCCAACGCGCTCGGTCTCAGTTCGCTCTGAGCAATAGAAGTGGTAGAACGTGTCTTAGAGCGAAGTCATTTTTTCTGTTGTGTCACGGTGCGATGGAGCGTTCGCTGGAACAGCGATACGCCATAAAGTTTTGTGTGCGACTTGGCAAAAATGCATCGGAAACTTATCAAATTCTTCGAGAGGCCTTTAAGGAGGAGTGCATTTCGAGATCTCAGTGTGGAAGGTGGCACAAGGCCTTCAAGGAGGGTCGAGAGGAGGTCACCGACGATCCACGTTCCGGACGTCCAACAACAGCACGAATTATTGAAAACGTTCGCCGTGTGCGAGAAACTTTGAGTTCAGACCGTCGGTTAAGCATCCGGGCAATCGCTGACATCCTAAACTTGTCAACATTTGCGGTACATGGAATAGTGACGGAGGATTTGCAAATGCGAAAGGTCTGTGCGAAGGTCTGTGCACCCTGTACGTCGAAGAGAGGAGGTTTTACGTGAGGAGCAGTAACTCCAAATCACCCCAACACGTGGTGAGAGCCGGAGTACCCCAGGGCAGCGTACAGCCTATAGCCTACCTTTCCGGATTCCCTAAAGGAACCCTCTGATGACCCTAGCTTACAAATATTAGATTGCCTAGGGAATCTACATAACCGCCAACGTACCGCAAAATTTAATTGATTGCCCTCCTGGGCAGATGTAAATATGTAAATAAAGATTCCGTAATACCAAAAAAAAAAAAAAAAATAAATAAATAAATTTAGTGACACATGATCATATTAAAGAAATAAAGAACAAAGAAATCAAGTCAAGTTGC